ATTTTTATATAATAATGGCGATTAATTTTGTCAGATAATATAACATAAAAATCGATGTTTGTATTTTATGCGTTGCCGTATTGTTTATCCGATTACGATAAAACATTGCCTACACTTCCACGAAGAATATAGGCATAGTACAATGGGAATGTGCGTTTGTCTCTCGCAGACGAAAAATGGAGGCGTTGTTGATTATTTTATGGATTTTGTGCTGACTCAAGCGCCCCTGTATGGAAGCTCTATACAACGCGCCGCACCCTCAAATATTAAGTGCGTCTTCGCTGCATATTCTGCCCCTGCTATTGTGAAATATTGGCCGGAATTATTACTTCAACGTTATCTCGGACACTGGCGGATTGTTTACCTTCGTTTATTTGGCAAAATTGATTTAAGTACTTATTTCAATTATGTAAGTACTTAAACAATATAGTATAGTAACATATCTACAGCACGTAAATAATATACAATATAACAAATATATATGTGTAACAAAAATCTATGATGGTATGATCCCCCTCCGATTCTCAGACAAGTAAATCAAATTTATCCAAGACAGTGTCATAGGGAATGCATGCCCAAACTTGAGGGAGATGTGTCAACAATACGATACTTGACAGCAACGAACAAACCCATATTCCCTTTCATCTATTGACATTTTTGCTGAGCGTAGCATAAAACGTGATAAACAATCACATGACCAGTAGAGTGTGAAGCGTAATACACTGCAATAGCGAAACATTGCCGAGACTACTAGTAATAAAACTTTTTATTTAGGGAACCTTGATCGTTGAGGTTCTTAAACTTTTAGTTGTGTAAAAGAAGGGTACTATCTTTAAAAGTTTAAGAATTTCTGTTCCAATTGATAACATCATCCTGTAAACAGAATAAATAGCTTTTTTCTAAAATAATTTGTCAAAAGTGCACGAGAGACTGATTTCATGACTCTGGATAACCTTATCATGAAAAGTTAAGATCTGTGAAAAGATAAGTATTTCAGGAATGTTCACAATGAAGGAAATAAAAACACACACACACATTATAGTACACAAATATTAAGGTAATTTAATATATAAGTAAAAATATGCATTTGTCCAGAAACAATAGAAAATACAAAAGTTCAACACAAAATATAATGAATATTTACAATAACAAATCAATCAGTCTTTTCAAGTACTTCAAATTAAACAACAAGCATTGGCAGTAATATTTCATGGAATTATCAACAAAATTTCATTCATTTGCGTAAAAATCACAGAATAGTTAAGAAGTAACATAATTTGGATCTGATTGTTAATTTTGAAATTGAAATTTGCAAAGGAGACTACATTATTAAGCATAATATACACAAACATAAAATGATAAGGAAACGTAAAGATACTTAAGGTCTTCAATCCTTCTCTAAACAATTATTGTTAAAGAAGGGGAACATTTCTTTCTTTTTTTTTTGTCAGATCTTTTGGCTGAATTAAGAATTGGTTCAGCTTACTTTTAGGTATGTTTAAATCTAACAAGAACTACTTCAGATAGTTCTTTAATTTCTAACAAGATTTCAGTAAAATGTCATTAGTGTTTCCTATTTCTTTAGTATTAATCCAATTACAGATACTAAAGCGTAAGTAACACATTCACACATGGGTTACTACTAGTTTTTTAAACAATATTTACAGTCACAATCTTTCACCGTTACAAATCAACAAAGAAATAATTGTACAACAGGTGTGTATTTGAGACATTTATGCACCTAGAAAGAGCAATTAATGATTCATAAACATCTTCCAGATGCCTAACAATCCGTCATTTTCTGTAGGAATGACATCAGTGTTTGAAACCTACACTGAACCTGAAAAACAAAAGTCATAGTAAATTCAGATCAAATTAATAAAAATATAAACAACCATTTAAAAAAATTAAATACTGCACAATTATTTAACAATTTATCAGGTTACAATAGGATTGAAAACTCTGAACAATCACTTACTTCTTCAGCTGTTCTGGATGGAAGCTCATAACATATTTTTTGGAAAACATTTTCTGAATTATTCACAGATTGAAACGTTCTCAAAATAATTTTATCCTCATCCCTTGTCCAAGGTGCACTCTCTAATTGTTCAGTAAAAGACACATCATTAGCATCATTGGGGCAGTTTTCTTCATTGAAGGTGTCCATATTAACATCTTGTGACAATCTAGTGCAATCATCCATCTCTTCAGAATCTTCACATTCCATAGGGTAATTATCTTCATCTTCTGAATCAGAAGAGGAGTTAATAGGAAAATCTTCTGAACCTAAGATATTCTTATCATCTTCAGAGGAAACATTCTCAAAACTAATATCCAATTCTACTGTTTCACTTTTTACATCATCTCCTTCACTTTGGGAGAAATGTTCTTCACTATAAGAAAAACCTTCTGTTTTATCCTCTAGAGCAGCTCCATCAGAACTGCTATCATCTCCAGAAGTGGAAAAACACTGCATAGGACATTCATTTTCTGCTAAGGAATCAAATGCTCTTGTATTTTCAGAGGAAATCATTTCATCCCCATTTTCTGATTTCATCATTTCATTACAATCATTTTTCTCCTTTTCAAATGGTATAGGGTTTATATCCTTTTTACACAAAATCTCTCCGTCTCCATCAGTGTCAGGTACAGGCAAATTACTATTTTGATCAGTGGGCGATTGATAGTTTTGCACATCATCTTGTATCTCAAAATCATCTTTTACAACATTTTCCTCTAATGAAGATTCTTTAATTGTCTCAATTATCATACTCTCTGATAACAATTTGCTAGGAGTTCCTTCCTTCTCCTGTTCTATAGAAAGAGGAGTTGATAAAGTACTTTTATAAGTTAAGAGGCACTCTTCTTTGCCTTTTTTACTAAGGATAACAGTAGCCAATGCAGTGTCAGTTTCTTCTTTAAGGGACTTACCAATGTTTCTTCGATTTGGCTTTTGATTTACATCATTTGCAAGAGTAGCATTACGAGCCGCTGAACGAGCTGCACGACGAGTTGGCTCTGCTTGTTGCAAGGGGAACTGAGGTGCTCCTTTACTACGTTTGGCATCAACTTTCCTAGCAACTTTACCTGTCTGCGGGGCGCCTTTTTTAGCAGAAACTACATGTGTCTGTATAGATGTTGATGTAGAAGGATTTTCTTCACTATTTGCCATTAGTTTTAATCTTTTTCGGGGTGGTTTAGATTTTTTTTTTTCATTACTTAACTCTTTGTCATGTGATGCTTTGGAAGCACTGAGCGTCTCATTGGTTTTCTTAGGGTTTTCATTCGTAGACTTCCCTTTTGCTGCCTTTTTTGAAGATTTTGGTGAAGATAACTTATTTGACACACCTGAGACATTGGTTGAAGAAGTTTCCCCTTTTGAAGGGTTGTTTTTTTTACTGCCTGAAGGAGGAGCCCGGTTTTTGTCAATTTTTCGTCGAGTCTTTAAATTCTTAACACAAAGTCTTTCAATTGCTTTTGTCTTCATTTCTTTGAAAGAAATTCTGGCAGGGCGAAGCATATTCCCTGAATGTAAGTACACTCTACCCTGAACGAACTGAAAAAAAGAAAGAAAGAAGATGCAAATTGTAAAGATTTGTGAACTGGTGAAATGTATCAAAAGGACCTTTTTAAGGAAATAATTTTATTTTTCCGAATCTTTTCAATACTTTAAGTTCAAAACACATCACTCTTCATTTAAAATTATTAGAACACCCCATAATATTAGTGATTGAAGCATAAAAAAAATCTAAGCACTTTTAGGGCAACTTAATTGTTTTTCTGAATTTCTCACCTTTGTTCCACAAGACATACAATGGACAGAGTGTCTTTCTTCCGTCCCCTCTGGTGGAATGTGGCAGGGGCAAATACAGTCTTCCCCGCCGTACATATCGTCTTCCGCTGGTGGGGGTATCTCCACAGTCTCAAACCAATCTTCATATTTTGGGTTTTGAATGTCAACATTACAGAAGTCCATACTTTCATAATCTGTCAATGAGCTAATTCAACAGATATTACAAAGAGATTTTCATGAAGCAAAATTCAAAACAAAATACAGCAAATAATGTGATAAAACAAAACTATATTTCATAAACTAACTAACCTTGCATGAGGGGCCTCTGTCGGCATTAATTCTAAGAACATGTTAACAAGTAAAGTGTTGTTTCTTATTAGAGGAAGAATCGTGTTCTTCAAATCATCCACAGAAGCTTTATTATTAGAAGCTAAAGTTGACAAGCTTGAATATATTTTACGTAGATGGGATGGTTGTTTGGAATAATACAGCTTTAGCGGAGAGAAAAGAAAAAGAAGAATTTTGAATAAAATAATATTATTATTACAAATCAAATTCACACAAGTCTTATTAATTTAAGTATATTCAAAGCATACCTCAAGTTTTCTACAGAAACTCCTCATTTTTGTGAGAATAATGTATTCCATAAATTTTCCACATTGCATTGCCTGTTCAGGCAGGAGAAATGCTAAAAATTCCTCTGACAAATCAGGATATTTTTCAAATATGTTGGTCACTTTCTTGTATAATTCAGTGGCATCAAAAATTGTGACACCAAAATCATTCATTGTTCTCATGAATTCACTGTAAGTAGCATCATCCTTTCCATGGAGTGTTTCAGTTACTTTGAGGAAGTATGACTGAGCAAATGCTAAAATGAATAGATGAATTCAGTTACCTCCCAAAGCACCAAAATTTTGTATTGAGAAAGTCGTAACTGATTAAAATGTTTGTCGTAACTTAATTTTCAATGTTTAAAATTCCTTCTGTTTTATATACAGTTTAAACTTACCAAATGCCTTTTCATCTTTAATTTGTTCATTGTCAGAAAGAAGGCAATTCAAGGTTTTTTCAAGATCACGAATTTGTTTAGGTTTCTTTTTCACAAATTTGGGAGGTGAACGACCAGTGGTATTAGGTTTCTTCGATTTTGGATTGTCTGCCTCCTTATCCTGCGAAAACAATCATATTTTAGAAGTACATATTTCTAAATTACATTTCATATAGTCCTTATTTTCCTCACCTTTTCACTTTTTGC